CCACCCTGTCAATTAAAATTAAAAGCAAAATGAAGAAATCATATTATAGTCAAGTTTGATTAGCATATTTAAACAAATGATGTAGATTAATTTACGTTGGCTCTTGAATACTTTTGCAGTGCCCTATGATACTTTTAAATATAACCCAAAAATTTACATAAATCAAAACAAACTGATAAGTTTCTGAGACCTCTTTAAGAAATGAAAGTGATTTAGTGTGTATTGCTAATTAAATATAATATATAACTTCCGTAGAAACTGAAGACCAATCCTTTGCCTTAGTCAGTAAAATACTAGAAGCTTAAAGAGTAGTTGTGCGTTCAACTCATAGGCTGTTAGAAGTAATTCAATTTAGTTTCAATATGTCGACTTGGATTCAGCATCTGTTCTAGTAAATGAATTTTCTTCTTCACAGTACATCTGTTTCAGTTAATTATAAGTGAGATTTCTCTAGCCCGGAGAAGTAATTCAGGAACTTGTTATTCAGTCACAAAAAGTGAATAGAAGTCGTACTAATTGGCACGCCTTTATTTTCGCCAGCAGCACCTAATTTCAATGAAGCGAAAAAGAATATCTACGCTAAATATAGCATACTCCACCTTCTATATATGAATGGAAATTGGCACGACAATTCAGAAATGGCCTCTTCACTGAGAAAGTATAAAAATTAATATGTGTTTAGGATTCTTGTGTTTTTCTTTAATAATTTCCCAGTCGAAAGAAAGGAAAAAGGAGAAAACTCTCCTTTATTAATTCCCGTGACGTATCATCAATTTCCACAGCATCAACTGAAGGACAGCATCTGAATTTAGAGAACGCAAAGACGTTCTGAAAGTGTTAAAAGAAATGGGACATGTAGACGAATATAATGAAGTCTTTTAGACAAGGTTCATATGCACGATATTTGGGTCGCGTTGATTGCCTGATCTAATCAAAATGGCCAGCCAAATCACATCTATTCGTTCGTAAACATTTGAATGAGACTAACAAGATAGTTTGAATTCATGACAATTTGCAATAGTTCATGTGAAATGAGGGCATCTCTATTTTCTTTTAAAATTCTTCAATTCCATCTAAATCTGAAATGGAGAATGCTCGTTTCAACTATATATGGGAATAAATAGTGCCCATCTTTTAAATGTCGAAATCTCTATCAGTCTTGCATCAAGTTTTTCTAATCATTATAGTCCTTTCAATTGGGAAGTGATGGTGTTAATTGAGAACCAAAACACAAGTCCGACGCAATGAAATGGCATGAAAACTAATCTACTTGCTCAAAAGGTTTGCTTTCTCTGCATCAAAAACGGCGCACTTTCGAAATTAACAATCGATAACTTCTTCTCGTTAATCATTTTAAATTTGGCATTCCCCTCCCCCCTCTCTCTGTCTCTCACTCTGAATATCGATTGGCAAATTATTTTTTCAACAATAGTATTTACTTTTGAGAAGGAAATTTCTCCCTAATTATAAATTATTAGTCAGATACGATGGTAAATGACGCTCTTTTAATTTATAATTGTTTTATAATGTGCTTGAAATATTCGTTTACAGTTAAAACAGACAATACATAAAAAATTAAAAATGATTACTTAAATTCCTCTTTCATGCAAATTATTTAACATTAATGAATTTCGAATTTATCTTCAACCTGCTTTTATATCGACCTTTATGTATGACAGCCGAAGTACAGGCATTCAAAATACCATCTATTGTAGTATTATCTTTCTCCATGATTTATTGCCAATATTTCCGACTTCAAAAATAAACTTCTGTTGCGACGATTTTGAAAAAGAATGTGCAAAAATTAAAATAAAATGAAATTAGTGCCTAAATTATTTTGATGGGTTTTTGAACAACGAAAAGGTAATTAAAATTATCGTATTCTTAAAGTAATGAAACAATTTTATGCTTTTGAGAAGTAATTAATATCTGAGACCAGTTTCTTAAAGGTGTGACTGTCATATCACTTCTATTTTTTTGAAAGAGGTAAAATAGATATCAAATAGTATCATTATTTGTTCAAGTCAATTTTGAAAATCTTACATCTTCGAAAAGAACTATTCCACATCCGTGCAGTGCCGATCAGTACGGTATTTATTTTTGCCTCAGTGCTTGCTCTAGCACCGCTCGTAAAGAATTAAATCAGGAAGGAAGAGGTGATAGCGAAGATAAGAAAGGAAAGAAGATTAAAGGGAAAAATGTGGTGAGACCTTGGAGTTTTTCATGTGATTGGGATATTCTCGGAGCTAGAATACCCTTTGGTTTTAGAATAGTGTATACTGTCATAAGAAAATGAGTAGCATATAAGAGGGAAAAAATGAAATTGAGCGATCTATATTGGTCTCAGAGACGCCCTTCGAAGGTCCTTGTCATTTCGTGGAGCAGGAACGACGGTTGTTGGGACGGTTGTATGGTGGAGAACATAATCACTGACGCTTCCAACGAACGTCCGTTTGAGGGTGCTAACTCCTCTATTTCCCATTACAATAAGGTCTGTATTCAAATCCCTTGCTTTTGCAACTATCATTTCGCCGGGTTTAGTACCAACGGTAAGAGTAAAATCTCCAGAAACTCCTTTATCTTCAAGTCTGGAAAGAAAATCATGGCTCAATGTGTTCGAGAGTTCTATATGTTCCTGTAGCATTGCATTGATTTCATTAGTTTTACTCTGTCCAATTGTGGTTAGGGAGAAATTATTTGCCGCATAACTGGGTTCACAGACATGGAGAAGGTGGATAACGTCGGTTGGTCGAAAAATATTAGCCATGTACCATGTCATTGCCTTTTTACTGGATTCACTTTTATCCACTGGTAGAAGTACCTGTCTTGGGTCGTTAAACATCGTAGGTACGTTTAAATTCTGAAGCGATCGGCGCTGTGAAAACATACTAGGGGTTAATGTAATGCCTGGATATGGGACAGGGGAATAACTTCAATGATGACTGGCTTGTATAAGCAAGTTATTTCCCACCAACTAGCCAATAAAAGTGCCGGACTGGGCAGGTTTACCAATCCGGGCAAGCTTATTCGGACAACCAATCAGTACATGGTAAACAGATTTTCCGTGAATTTGGTTGGTAGGCCTGTTTTTCCAAAGCCAATGGCATTATTAGCTATTAGGGAATCGGCCATTTTATGCATTTTTTATTTATCAATGTTCAAAGCTATTCGAAATTATATAAAAAATCACTTCGAAAAGTGATCAAACTTGACTATGCTCTTCAAACCGTATTTTTATTTAATTATACTAGGTCAGTAAATTGAAAAATTTTATTATGTCGAAGAAAACCCGATTCTATAAACTGTGATTTTCTTTCCTTTTTATTATTTAATAATTCATTTCGAATGTTTTTGACTGTTTTGCCTTATCTAGCGAATAAAATGACTTCCTAAATTATTAATAGTAACATTAGGCGCAAATATAAGAAGGATGGAAAGTCAACTACCTTTAGTTATTTGCATTATCACACTCAGTTTGAAAATAGGATATAAAACACGACTTAAAAGTTTTGGATTTAATTGAGTTAGTGCAAAGTGAGCGAAAATTTTCAAGTCACTTTAATTTTTTATACTTTCATATAATTCAGCTGGGAAAACGTTGATGCTCAAAGATTACGATCCATGTCACCACATGTAATTGAAGTACCCAACATATAAGGTCCCAATATTTATTTATTTATTTCAAATGGCAGGCATTTTGATAGTTATCATTAGCCCTTTAGTTGACTTCGGGCTTCATAGAGAGGAGGAGGAATATCAAAGTGAGAAAAATTCGACAGGGGAAAAGAAGAGCGATTCACAGATGTAAAAGAGACAGACAGACAGACAGACAGACAGACACAAAGGTAGAGAAAAGGCTAGATGAGTACTGTGGAAGAGGTCGAATATGACATACAGTGGGGTCATGGTAGTTTGAAGTGAGAAGTCAACTGCCAGTTAATAGACTTTTTGCCGTATGAGTATACGTTGCCCAGGGTGCACCACGTGGAGGTAAGTCTATCGCACACCCCAGGTCACAATA